GAAGGGAGGGAGGGAGGGAGGGAGGGAGGGAGGGAGGAAGGAAGGAAGGAAGGAAGAAAGATAGTTTAGTGGGTGTGGCCAGATACCCCAGCGCCTTCCAAGTATTGCCAGGGCTCCAGCACTGAAATGCAGTGCAACTGTCAGGGCTGTTTCTAAGCAAAAGGCCCAAGGAGAGCCAAGAAAATGAAGCAGAACAAGAGACAGCCTTAATGAGAGAGCTGAATGCACACTAACCTGCTTTAAGTTGGCTTTTCATAAGCTGTGTCTGGGTTCCCTCCCCACAGTCAAAGAGCCAGCACTCGCCCTCACACCGAAGGACCAGAGCAGAGGCACCCCGGGTTGGGGATGGGTATGCTGCGCCTGTCCCCAGAAATGTCACATCCATAGACATCTTCCACCCTGGAACGAGAAGATCCCTTAGGGATTATTACACATCGCTGCTCAAAATCACCAAAAACAGGTTCTTGTGAATTTTACTATTACCTATGTTTTGGTTATTAATAGTTTGGATTCCTGTTCTCTAATAGTCTTCCACAGAAATCTGAAGAAAGATTTTAGTAACTCTTAATCAGTTAAAACCACAAATTACGAAACCTTGTATGACTGCTCACACAAACAAAAATAAATGTTAAAAAAGCCTAACCCAGTCAATTAATAACTATAATTGAATTCCAACTATATGACATTCTGGAAAAGGCAAAACTATGGGAATGGTAAAAACACAGTGGTTTGACTCTACAAGGTGGGTACTATATCATCATCCCCATTTTATTTTATTTTTTATTTTTTTTTGCGGTATGTGGGCCTCTCACTGTTGTGGCCTCTCCCGCTGTGAAGCACAGGCTCCTGACGCGCAGGCCCAGAAGCCATGGCTCACGGGCCCAGCCACTCCGCGGCATGTGGGATCTTCCCAGACCGGGGCACGAACCCGTGTCCCCTGCATCGGCAGGCAGACTCTCAACCACTGCGCCACCAGGGAAGCCCCATCATCCCCATTTTAGAGATGGGGAGGCTGAGGCACAGAGAGGTAGTGACTTGCCTAGGGTCCCAAGGCTAGTAAGTGGCAGAGCTAGGATTCAGACACCAGGACACTAGCTCCAGGACAACTCTATCATGTCACCTTCTGTCTTAAGCATTCCTTATGTTGTAGCTTTATTATCCATAACAAAGGTCCATGTGACACCTTAGTTTCAGATGTCTAGCCTCTAGAATTGTGCAAGAATAAATTTCTGTTGTTAAAAAAAAAGGACAGTGGTTTGGGGGAAGGGAGGGAGGGATGAATAGGTGGAGCACATGGGAGTTTTAGGACATGGGATTTAGCACACGGGATTTTTTAGCAAAACTATTCTGTATGATACAGTAAAGACAGACACACGTCATTGTACATTGGTCAAAACCCATAGAATATACAACACAAAGAGTGAATGAACCCTAATGTAAACTTTAGTTAATAATAATGTATCAGGGAACCGGATCCCACATGCATGCCGCAACTAAGAGTTCATATGCCACAACTAAGGAGCCCACGAGCTGCAACTAAGGAGCCTGCCTGCCACAACTTAGACCCAGTGCAACCAAATAAATAAATATTTTAAAAAATGAATCAATATTGGCTCATCACTACCACACTAATGTAAGATGTTAATATTAGTGGAAATTGGGGAGAGGAGTGGGTATATAAGAACTCTGTACTTTCTGCTTATTAATTTTTTTAAACAGTCTTTCTAATAAATAAACAACTCTAGTGAGATTCTGGGCAAGAGCTGGAATTTAATTATGCTCACTAAGTGATATCTCTGGTGCCCGTGGCGAGCAGCCCTTTCTCTGAAACATCATAAACCACAGCAATGCTCTACAACACTCTACAGTAATGCTAATACCACACAGTAATGCTGAGTGAATGACTCACTCCCATAATAATAGAGTCCATGAAGGGTTAGCACCTGGGCTTCTGATCTTATAAGTGATCAGCAATAACCTGTTGAGTGTGTAGATTTCTGCCAACTCCTGAGATCTCTTTTTCCTTTTACTACTTTTGGGCACATCTATCTCTCATATATTTCTGTGATAGGAGATATGCATGAAATAAAATAAGCACAAACTCAAACATATATCAATATAACCAATTATAGAGCATCCACATTGATGGCAGGGAAGAAAACAAACATATAAGTTTAAGAAAAACTACTAAAACAAGAAAATTTGGCAGCGAGCTGGATAAATATATCATCTATAGGGGAAAAAAACCTATCAAAGGGGCTTCCCTGGTGGCGCAGTGGTTGAGAATCTGCCTGCTAATGCAGGAGACACGGGTTCGAGCCCTGGTCTGGGAGGATCCCACATGCCGCGGAGCAACTAGGCCCGTGAGCCACAACTACTGAGCCTGCGCGTCTGGAGCCTGTGCTTCGCAACAAGAGAGGCTGCGATAGTGAGAGGCCCGCGCACCGCAATGAAGAGTGGCCCCCGCTTGCCACAACTAGAGAAAGCCCTTGCACAGAAACGAAAACCCAACACAGCAAAAATAAATAAATTAATTAATAAACTCCTACCCCCAACATCTAAAAAAGAAAAAAAAAAAATTATAAAAAAAAAAAAACCTATCAAAAACTTTTCTCAGTCCTAGAAATAACCAGATAAAAATAAAAATGAGGAAAAAACCCCTCACTCACAAGAGAAAACTAAGCCTTATAAAATAACTAGAAAGTTAATAGGAAAGGAATAGACCCTAAAAGACCCAAAAAGAGATACACATTAGCTTCCCTGATAGGAAGATTTACTATCACAGAAATGTCTATCTTTTCATAATTAATGTATATATATTTAATGTAAATTCTATCAGATTTCCAATGGGATTTATCTTGGAACAAAAGCAACCCAAAGATCACATGGAAGAAAAAATACATGTCTGAGAATGGGCAAGAAAAGTACACAAAGCATTGAGTGGTGACTTAACTTTTCTAGATATTAACACTTACTACAGTAATCAGGCATAAAGAAAACAGAATAATATTGGCACAAAAATAGAGGTGACAGAGAAGGGACAGTCCAGAAATAAACCCAGGTACGTACAGAAATCAATATACAACAAAAGTATAAAAAGGGTGGCTTTTTTAATGAACAACACTGACATAACTGGCTACTTCTGCAGAAGAAAGTAAAGCAAGATTCTTATTTTGCACTGTATAAAAAATACATTCCATATTGTTTAGAAATATAAATGTGAAAGGTCCAAAAAAATGTGTTCAAAAAATTAGGAAAATATGTATATAACTTTGGGGATGAGAAAGCCCTTACTGACAAGACATGAAACCCAGAATTTTTTAAAATGACATTTTTACTACATAAAAACTTTCATATATCAAGATTCTTAAAGTCAAAGGGCCAAAAAAAACACCTGGAGAAAACTGTACTGTATGATAAAGGGTTAATGCCCCTAAGAAATGGTCCAAGTAAATGCATTAATAAAAACAAAAAAACTGATAAAATAGAAAAATAAGCAAAGAATATACACAGGAAATTCACAGTAGAAATCCAAACAGCCAATAAGCATGAAAAGTGCTCAGTCACCCAGTAGTTAGAAGAAATGCAAATTAAAGAAAAAGAGACATTATTTTCCACACATCAGCTGGCAAATATTAATGCTATCCAGTGCTAACCAAGACAAGGGAAAATGGGTACCTGCATTTTACTAGTGGTGTTAGTATGAATGGCTATTATGTTCTGGGAGAGTAATCTGGCAATATATATTACCAATAATAATGATGCTGCTAATAGCAACATACTTTAACCCAGCAATCCCATTTTTGGAAATCGACCTTACAGAAATAAAGGATCTGTGTACAATGATGTTTATTGTGCTACTTTTAAGGTGGCTAAAATTTGGAAACCATCTGAATATATATATATATATATATATATATATATATATATATATATATATATCAATAGGGAAACAACTGAATATTTTATTGTATATTCATATCATGAACTATTTATTCTACAGTTCAGTCAGGTCTGTAACTCTTGTCCTGAAGGCATGACAGTGAGAAAGGTTACAGATGGCTATAACAATTTTTTATAACATTTTTATAACAATGCCCAAACCCCTACATTATACAAGACAGTCTGGTGAGGAAGAACACACCATATTGCTCATATTGGTTATCTCAGGGGTGATTAAAATGATGGTGGTGATAGTGGAGATTATTAACTTTTCTTTTAAATCTTTGAATTGTTTTTGGTTGCAATAAGCAGCATTTCATTTATTTATTTGATTTTAATTTATTTAATATTTAATTTACTTAATATTGATGATTTTTAAGAAATGTGTCATAATGCTGAACATGCTCTTCTAACTACATATCACCTGATCTCCCTTTCCATTTGGGGATACAGTCACCTCACACAAGCCTTTAGGTTATTGCTAGTGTCCTTTCCATGTGTCACTCCACATTTTCGCTTCCAAGATCAAGACTTCCTCTGATAATATTTGCAGAGGCTTTCTTATTGGATTGCAGTTTGCAAGAGGTGGAAGAATACACAGAATGTAGGAAGCTGAAAATTTAAAGTAATAAATGCAGAAAGTATAATAGAATATAATCACTTTGCATGTGTAACAAATAATAGATCTAAGCCAGTGGTACAGAACCCTGGAGAGTATGAGAGTATCAGAATCACCTAGAGAGCTTTTAAAACATATCAATGATTGGGCTCCATCCCAGAACAATTAAACAGGAAATTCTGCAAAAGACGTGTGTTTTAGAATTAAAAAAAAAAATTCTTCCCCTGTGATTCTAACATGCAGTCAGTTTTGAGAACCACTTAGTGAAAGGCTAATGGAGAACTATAATGGATGGATCGGGCTGACGTGAGCTCACTAGTCAACTAGTCAATCTTTTTTAAAAAAAACTTTTGTTATGAAAAATTTCAAACACAGATTAATATAATGCACTGTCACATACCCATCACCAAGCTTCAACAATTATCAACTCACGGTCAATCCTGTTTCATCTTTATCTCTCACCCATCGTCTAAGAATACTTGACAAGTGGTATTATTGGGTACTTCCATTGGGGAGCACATGCTGTCTGGCTGTCTCTCTTTTTCTGACGTTAACAGCCACTAATGATCATTTCCAGGACCAATTATTTCATTAGGGGTTGCCAAGCTGATATTCTCTCATTCCTTCTGTAGTTATTAGCTGTCATCCTTCTGTAATTCCCTGATCAATTAGTTAGTCACGCTGCAATACAATTTGTACGGAAAAGGTCCAGTGATCAATCTTGACACCACAAAGAGAGACAAGACCTAATCCAACTCCTGATGCGATGTAATATGAAGTACACAGTAATTTAGGAGGTTTTCTTGCATCTGGAAAAGGCTGTTATCTAAATACCAGTATATTAAAGGACACCACAGGGACGGAAAAAGCAAAATTCAGTATGTAAGAAACATTACAGGACAAATGACTTGGCTTCTTCAACAAGTGAAATACAAGGAAAAACAATAATAAAGAGGAAGGAGATGAAGAGATATGAGCCGTCAACCAAGTGTAGCATGTGTAGCTTGTTTGACTCCTGATTTGGACAACCAGATAATGGGAGGAAAAAAAAGAGACAATAGGGGATATGTAAACTTTCACTGGATAGATGGTAACATGAAATTCTTATGAGACTGATGATGGTTTTATATTTAAGGAGTTACTGTGTTCTATAAACATAAACAAGTATTTAATGGATGAAACGGCACATTTAGATTTACTTCAAAATAATCCAGTGGGGGTGAAGGTATGAAACTGACTCTGAGTTGGTACATTCAGTACATGGTTCTATTTTTGTATATATTTGAAAGTTTCCATAATAAAAAGCTGAAAAACAAGCCAAATAATCAACTCTTCCACTAGGTCGGAAGTAATCAGAAGTTAATTTATTTAATCAGTGGTGCCTGTTTTGTGACATGCACCATTCTAAGCACTAGGAAATAAGTGACCAAACTAGATTTTGATCCCTGTCTTTTTGGACAAAAACAAAACAAAACAAAAAAACCCAGCCGCTTGCTTTCTCATGACTATGAACCACTTTGGAGGAAGTGCACATTCCGGGCGAGAACACAGCACACGATCGATCGCAGAACTGTCACTTGACACTCTGGGCCAGTGGTTCTCAGTCCCGGCTCCATATCACAAACACCTGGTGATTCTGGGGCCTCAGCACTTGGAAGGCTTCCCAGAAGATTCTACAGGCTCCCGGGTTCAGAACGAGTTTCTAGGCAGGCAGTACCAACCCTGCCATCACCCAGTGGTGCAGGTAGGGCAGATATTGCCAGCCTCCATTTTAGAGATGAAAAAAGCGTGACCCTCGAGATAGTGAGCGGTCAAGGCCGGGCCAGAGGCCAGGTCTCCAACCGTTGGCCAGCCCAGCCTCTCCTCCAATTCAGCATCAGTGTAGCAAAAGGAAGGGTGGGCGTCGGCAGGAGCGCCAGGCAACTGAGGCCCCCGTCTGGGGGGTGGGGGTAGACAAGGCGCGTCCTCGTCCCCGGCGCTCCCGGGCCTGGGTCCTCTGCTCCGGTCCCGGCCCGCGAGTCCGCAGGAAGCGCGCCCTCAGCCCGCTCGGCGGGCGCGTGGGGGGCCTCAGCGGCGCAGACCCCGGCCCGCCCCCCTCCGGCGCGCCCTGCCCCACTCACCCACTCCCCGAGACCCGCGGCAAGAGCCGAGGGAGGCGCAGGCCCGCAGCGAGGCCCAGCCGTCCACGGGGACACGAGGCGCGCGGGCGGAAGTGCGCCGCCGGCCGTGCCCACGTGAGGCCGCTCTAGGAAGCTCCGGAGGTCCGCGCTCGGTGGTTCCCGCCGGAGCTCAACCGCGCCTGGAGGCTGGGCAGCGGCCCCGGGCATCCGCTCTGTCCTGCAGTAGGACTCCCTCTCCTTCACTCGCCCGCACTAGCGCGCTGGGTTCGATGTTAATGGTAACCCGTGAGGACCGGAGCCCCCAAGGTGAAAAACGTATACGGTTCAGCCTTTTGTTTTCCGTGTAATGTTTTCAAACAAGAGTGTTCTCCCAGATGCTTTGCTCTGGCATGTCTTTGTGTAAAGTCTGTTCTTTCGTGGGGATGAATCGTTCTATCTTAATCACTAAACCTGAAAGTGTAAGCTTGCGCTGCCTTAGAATCAGAGTTTATAGCAGCGTTACTATAGATCCTGAGTCTCCGCTCCATTTCACTTTGCTATTCCAGGGATACAGTGGAATGTTTGCTGAAAATCTGAAGCGGCCTGTGCTGTGCACGCACGAGCATCGCAGGTGTGTTCAGTTAGTGAACGCACAGCATTGCCTGCTGGACGCGCGAGTGAAGAGCCGGGGCCTAAACTGCATGTAGTAACTACAAACCATGGGGAAAACACTCATTGATTTAAATCCCAATTTTCAAAATTTCAGGCTGGGGACTTCCCTGGTGGCGCAGTGGTTAAGATTCCCCCTGCCAATGCAGGGGACACGGGTTCGAGGCCTGGCCCAGGAGGATCCCACATGCTGAAGAGCAACTAAGCCCGTGTGCCACAACTACTGAACCTGCACTCTAGAGCCGACGAGCCACAACTACTGAGCCCACGTGCCACAACTACAGAAGCCCGTGCACCTAGTGCCTGTGCTCTGCAACAAGAGAAGCCACCGCAAGGAGAAGCCTGCACACCGCAACGAAGACCCAACGCAGGCAAAAAATAATAATAATAATTTTAAAACTTCATGCTCCTATGCAGTGCTAGATGCACTGGTATTTGCTCAAATGCTCAAAGTGGTCAAAGTATCCAACAGCTTCATAACAGGAATAGAAGTGCTGTGGATGTGAGATTTTTAAAACTACCTGGATAGAGGGATCAAGATCCCATCCTCCCCCCCTGCCGACTCCGACTGCTTTGCTCAATAAACCATTAGATCATTTACTTTTGGGCCTCTTCAAAGCTTTTATTTATTCAAGTGTTAATTGAGCTCCGACTTTGTGGATAGTATTATTTTTGGTGCTGAGAGAGGTTTTTTTTTTTTTTTTTGCAGTACGCTGGCCTCTCACTGTTGTGGCCTCTCCCGTTGCGGAGCACAGGCTCCGGACGCGCAGGCTCAGCGGCCATGGCTCACGGGCCCAGCCGCTCCGCGGCATGTGGGATCCTCCCGGACTGGGGCACGAACCCGCGTCCCCTGCATTGGCAGGCGGACTCTCAACCACTGCGCCACCAGGGAAGCCCGAGAGAGTTTTTTAAGTATGTCATGACCCCTGGTTTTAGGAGCATACACTGAGATTGGGAAAAGAGGTATCAGGAAGCCACTAACAATATGAGGGAACAAAAGAGAAGCCAAAAGGAGTGATAAGACGATAGAAATAGGGAGATCACTCAGTTAAGAAAGGGTTAGGGAAAACCCTGGCAGTCCAGTGCTTAGGACCCTGCACTTTCACTGCCAAGGGGTCCCACAAGCTGCGCTAGGTGCCCCCCACCCCCTCAAAAAAGAAACAGACTTGAACTGGTTCTTGTAGGATGGTCGAGACTTGGATTAGTGTTCTGGAAATGGAAAAATAAGGTGGATTTGTTTGTGTGGGGACTGGTTTAGCAAAGTATTAAAAACTGGACCTTGAACGTTATTTATTCTCACACTTGCCTAGCTAAGAAGTGCTCAGGAAGACACATTCTACAGCTAGGTCTCGATCACAACTCAGCTAGGGCTTCCCCACAGTGGTACCCTCCATAGATCTGCCCACTCCAGAGTTTCCTGGCTGGTTCCTACCACCCACCACCCATACCCCAATCAAGGTTTCTTACAACTCCTCAGAGGTTCTTATAGCTTTAGAGAATACTGGACAGTGCTTTTTGTTCATTTTTAAAACTTTACATTATGGGAAATTTTTAACATACACAAAAGTTGAGAAAATGTTTAATGAACAATTATGTGTAATCGTCACTCAGCTTCAACAGTTAGTAGCACCTGGTCCAATTTGTTTCACCTAGAACCCCTGCCCCTCCAAAGGCAACAAAAAGCTCTGGATTATTTTCATTTCCAGGCACAGTATCATTTTTTCCATAAACACTTCTAAAAGCATTTAAGGATCTTTTCTTTTTTAAAAAATCTCATCTCTGTATAATGATGGTGGATAGTTCAGTATATAAATATAAAGATAAGGACTTTAAAAAATGCAACCATAATATCATTATCATACAAAGACAATATTTCCTTAACATCATCAAATATACAGTCACTGTTCAAATTTTCCTGATCATCTCATAACTTTTTACAGCTCATTTGTTCTAGTCATAAAATCAAAATATAAAATAAAAGAAATTCAAAGCTCTCTTAAAAAACTTAGCTACAGGGAGATTGGTTCAAGATGGCGGAGTAGAAGGACGTGCTCTCACTCCCTCTTGAGAGAGCACCGAAATCACAACTAACTGCTGAACAATCATCGACAGGAAGACACTGGAACTCACCAAAAAAGATACCCCACATCCAAAGACAAAGGAGAAGCCACAATGAGATGGTAGGAGGGGCACAATCACAATAAAATCAAATCCCATAACTGCTGGGTGGGTGACTCACAAACTGGAGAACACTTATACCACAGAAGTCCACCCACTGGAGTGAAGGTTCTGTGAGCCCCACATCAGGCTTCCCAACCTGGGGGTCCGGCAATGGGAGGAGGAATTCCTAGAGAATCAGAATCAGACTTTGAAGGCTTGTGGGATTTGATTGCAGGACTTTGACAGGACTGGGGGAAACAGACTCCACTCTTGGAGGGCACACACAAAGTAGTGTGTGCATCGGGACCCAGGGGAAGGAGCAGTGACCCCAGGGGAGACTGAACCAGACCTACCTGCTGGTGTTGGAGGGTCTCCTGCAGAGGCGGGGGGGTGGGGGTGGCTGTGGCTCACCGTCGGGACAGGGACACTGGCAGCAGAAGTTCTGGGAAGTAATCCTTGGAGTGAGCCCTCCCAGAGTCTGTCATTAGCCCCACCAAAGAGCCCAGTTAGGCTCCCAGTGTTGGGTTGCCTCAGGCCAAACAACCAACAGGGAGGGAACCCAGCCCCACCCATCAGCAGACAAGCGGATTAAAGTTTTACTGAGCTCTGTCCACCAGAGCAACAACCAGCTCTACCCACCACCATTCCCTCCCATCAGGAAACTTGCACAAGCCTCTTAGATAGCCTCATCCACCAGAGGGCAGACAGCAGAAGCAAGAACTACAATCCTGCAGCCTGTGGAACAAAAACCACATTCACAGAAAGATAGACAAGATGAAAAGGCAGAGGGCTATGTACCAGATGAAGGAACAAGATAAAACCCCAGTAAAACAACTAAATGAAGTGGAGATAGGCAACCTTCCAGAAGAAGAATTCAGAATAATGATAGTGAGGATGATCCAGGACCTCGGAAAAAGAATGGAGGCAAAGATCGAGAAGGTGTAACAAAGACCTAGAAGAATTAAAGAACAAACAAACAGAGATGAACAATACAATAACCGAAATGAAAAATACAGTAGAAGGAATCTATAGCAGAATAACTGAAGCAGAAGAATGGAGTAGAATAAAGAAAAAAGAATGAAAAGAAATGAAGACATCCTAAGAGACCTCTGGAACAATATTAAATGCAACAACATTTGCATTACAGGGGTCCCAGAAGGAGAAGAGAGAGAGAGAGGACCCAAGAAAATCTTTCAGGAGATTATAGTCGAAAACTTCCCTAACATGGGAAAGGAAATAGCCACCCAAGTCCAGGAAGCACAGAGATAAACCCTCAGAAAACATCATTCTCAATGGTGAAAAACTGAAAGCATTTCCTCTAAGATCAGGAACAGGACAAGGATGTCTACTCTCATCACTATTATTCAACATAGTTTTGGAAGTCCTAGCCACGGCAATCAGAGAAGAAAAAGAAATAAAAGGAATATAAATTGGAAAAGAAGTAAAACTGTCACTGTTTGCAGATGTCATGATACTATACATAAAAAATCCTATTCTGTGATTATGTGAGAGAATACCTTTGGTCTTAGGAAATGCACACAGAAGTACTTAGGAATAAAGGGGCATCATGTCTGCAATTTATTCTTAAATCATTCAGCAAATAAATATTTATATAGTGAGAGAGAAAGAGAGAATGACGAAACTAATAGAGCAAAATATAAGCAACTGGTGAATGTTGGAGTTCTTTGCACTGTTCTTGCAACATTTCTATAAGTTTGAAATTATATCTATATTAAAAAATAACCATGAGGGCCTCCCTGGTGGCGCAGTGGTTGAGAGTCCGCCTGCCGATGCAGGGGACACGGGTTCACGCCCCGGTCCGGGAAGATCCCACATGCCGCGGAGCGGCTGGGCCCGTGAGCCATGGCCGCTGGGCCTGCGCGTCCGGAGCCTGTGCTCCGCAACGGCAGAGGCCACAACGGCGAGCGGCCCGCATAACGCAAAAAAAAAAAAAAAACAATGAAAAGGAGGGAGTGATCAACTGTGACAAATGATGCTTACGGATCTAGTAAAATTAAAATAAAAGTGTGACCTTTGAATTTGGCAGTGTGTAGGTTTCTGTGGATGCTGGCTATGAAGGCCTGATTGGAGAGGTTCAAGAGCAAGTGGAAGGAGAAGAATGGAAGTCAGGAAGTATAGAGGAAGTATTGAAGGGTTTTGATTTAAAGAATAGTGACTTGGGCCAATAGCTGGAGGGGAAGAGTCAGGAGTCCTCCGGCCCCAGTCAGCATGACAGTGACCCAATAGAGGGAAAATG